ACAATAGAATTGATGGGTTCAGCCAGACCATGTCAATAAGTTGTAGTTATTGCCAACGTCACTAACATGCACTTCAATTTGTTGGTACTTTATTCAAATTTTAATTCTATTGTGAAACACACTAGGGTAAATTGTAGAAAATAAGATCCCAATAAGTTAGTAATACATATCAACGACTTGGAATTTTGTGTTATACTGTGCTCATAGCTCGCTCTAGATCCATATCAAACTAGATTATCTATGTCCCTTTATACGTGGACTGGTTAGACCGGTCTTGTCCATGATCCTATCAGTTGTGTGTATTATTTCGTGTATTTATGTGTGGGTTTGTGTATGCAAGTGTGGGGGCGTGTGTGTGGAGGGATAAATTTCCTGGTTAAACACGCTTGAATGATTTCCAGATCTGCTGCTATCCAGAAGACAAACACTTTTGATAAATTCCAATGGTTTTTAACCTGGGTTCGACCAAACCCCAGGGGTTCGGTGAGTCAGTCTCAGAGTTTCGGCGGAAGTCAAGGCACACACCCGACTCATATGATTCATGTTCGATAGGGCTATTAAGAAGGGTTCGATGAATGCGCATATAAAAACTAGTGGGGGTTCGATACCTACAAAAAGGTTAAGAACCACTGACTCATTCAATGCAAACAACAGTCATTGTATAATGCACAAATTCAAACAACCGAGATAGTAGAGTGATAACAACTATTATGAACCGACTTGCAAAGCTTCATTATTCTAATTAAAATTAACAATTTTACAGTTGGGTAACAACTCCCATGCAATCGACGCTTTAAACGACTGTGTAGACTGTGCTCCACTAGGAGTTTTTTTAAAAGTTAGAGTCACCCGGTGCAGTCCGCCCCCCCCCCCGACACCCCATTGTAACGCCACGGCCTATATGACCGCTCAGGCTACGATATCCTGGGTGGTAGAGTAACCCGGCGCACCCCCATACACCCCCTTGTAACGCCACGGCCTATATGACTACACTCAGGCTACGATACCCAGGGTGGCAGAGTAACCCGGCGCACCCCCATACACCCCCTTGTACCGCCACGGCCTATAAGACGCCACTTTGAACGACTGACTCCTGGAGGCGGCGGGTACCTACAGCTGTTGACTTGACTTGAAGACAGCTTTTCAGCTCAGTCAAAGCTTTAAGCGTCTGGCTAGTGCCGCATTCCACGACTGTTGGGCTAGTCGTAAAAAAATACAGTATTTGATGCTTGATTGGTCTTACAACCGGCCAGGTTGATACAACTATCAATGTATAAAATGACCAAAGTCATCCATCAATTTATAGAATGATCGACGCCAACGATAAATGCTTAGAATCATTAAACTAGGCAGTAAATAAAACGATGAAATCAACTATCAATATATAGAATGACTGAATGAAAATATCAATATAAATAATGATTCAAGATAACAATAACACCGAATGAATGAAAAGAATACAATTCAAAACAACCAGAGTTATTAAAATCATCAATGAAGTTAATTAAAGCCCTCTAATCCCTCCACTCCTAACTTCCTAAAAGAGTCCAGTCTTTAAACAAGGAATCAATAAACGAAAGCTCTTTATGAGGCTTCTAAGATTCTCCATACAGGTCCGGTAATCAATGAAAAGGGCCGGAACTCGATGATGCAGCGTAACCATGGTAACCGGCGAGAAATCATAGGACTGGATACTGTTGGTTTGTAAATGGGTCAGTGTGGGTAACTGGCAGTGTGGGGGGTCAATGTGGGTCATTGGCAGTGTGGGGGTAGGTAAATGTGGGTCTCTGGGTGTGCGGTGGAGGAATCAATGTGGGTCTATGAGGGGGGGGGGGGTCAATGTGGGTCACTGGCTGCGTAGGGGTCAATGTGGGTCACTGGTTATGTGGGGGTCAATGTGGGTCACTGGCTGCGTAGGGGTCAATGTGGGTCACTGGTTATGTGTGGGTCAATGTTGGTCTCTGGTTGTGTGGGGGTCAATGTGAGTATCTGTGGGGAGTCAATGTAGGTCTATGTGTGGGGGTCAATGTGGGTCTGGAAAGATGGTAAAGTCAATTTGGGTTTCTATCTGTGTCGGCGTTCAATTTGGGTCTGGACATTTGTGGGGGTCAACAATGGGTCTATAAATATGTTGAAAGTTGGTGTTGGTCTTTTGTGTGATGGGTCAGTGTGTGTCCAAAAATGTGTGCTGGATCAATGTCAGAAGGATGTATTTGGGCCAGCAAGATATGCAATTAATTAATTGGATGCTTGCTAATCCCTATAGGCTTAAATTGTGGTCTATAGCACAAGAATCACTAAATATTGCAGTCAATTTTTCGTTTAATTACAGACATATTTTTTTTTTCATTTTTCCGAGAAGTGTTCTTTGAGCTATTGCGCAATATTCTCATGCTTTACCTAAACATAAAAAAATGCTTGAATAGAACTACTGATTTATCATCTAGATCTATGCTTCTAAGAATGCGTTCATTTGTCAATATTTGCGTATTCTTCAAAGAAAAAGACGAAAGATTTACTGATAACTGCTTCCTGTCATCCGTTGTTTATGCGCATGCTCCGTAGGACGCCCTTCTAATGTAAAACCCCTTCCTAACTAACTAGCGAATGAATAATGCAGGGGAAATAATCCGATCGATCAAAGACTTATTCAAAATATCAGCATTTTTTTTATATTTCCACTAATAGCTCGTAAATTTGGAAAATGTTGTTAATGGAATTCAAACAAAAATCAATAAAGATACTTTTTTTTAAATTTCAAGCGAGAAGAAGAAAACAGCTTTCTCGTTTTTAAAAAACTTTATATTTTTACTTTCTCGTATATACGAAGTATAGAGAAAGTATTGTAATCGTGCAAAAAAAAATCGAGATTTTTACAGATCTCGACGTTTTACACCTCACTGATACGGAAAAACATAATTTTGCAATCTTGTCCGTATGTCTGTGTGTGTGTGTGTGTGTCTGTGTGTCCGTGTGTAAACACGATAACTTGAGTACCGTTACAGCTAGGTTGATGAAATTTCATATATAAGTATTTTATCAAAATCGTAGATCCGTATCAACTTTTGAGCGATTTCCGATAACCGGAAGTGGTACTTTTCCTACTTTGAATTTTTCAAAAGCCTATAACTTGAGTACTATTTCAGATTTTCAGATAGATAAATGAAATTTCACATGTAAGTAAAAGATCTAATTCTCTACCTTCTGTAAAATTTTGAGTCATTTCCGTTGACTGGAAGTAGTAATTTACGCTACTTCCGATTTCTCAAAAAACGAATGTAAATTTTAAAAGTACTAATAATATTGCGCACTATTATGCGCTTTTTTTATTTGGCGTTCACTTGGTGTGCAATTAATTTGTCTACGAGATTTTATTCTATTTTTAAAATTTTAAGTATTTAAAATGGATTAAAAATCATGTCTATAGCCCGAGTTCCCATCCCCTGTTATTTTATATAAGAATATTCGAGAAAGTTTAGGGGAGATCACTCCCGGTTTATTTTAAATATTTGACAATTTTTTGTTCGACGTGCGTTAATGCTTTTTGTACATAAAATTCAAAATGTTGACACAAGATGTTTGCGTTCATCTCTCCAACTCCACACCTACCCTTCAATCCCCACCCCTATATAATATGTCAACTATGACCGAATAATGTAATTAGTTCACATACAACTGAAAACAATTTTTCAATTTAGTTTGTCAATAAGAAAAGTGGGTCATATCGTGGTGTATATAGAAAACCTTCATAAAATCACATTGAGAAATATTGGCTCAACATTCAGTACCAAAACAACAAGCCGTTGCTATTGTAAATGTGAGTATCGCAAACCAAAGAATTTGCAGGTAAAACATAAAAGTATGTAAAGTCCTATGTTTTAAAAAAAAATGGGCATTGTTCCTGCTTTCAATGATGAAGACCTTGTGGACCGGATCGAGTGTTGTGGACAGTGTTTTTTTTTTCAAACATTTTTTTGAAAAATGGGGGATTGGGCATTAAATTAACGTTAAAGTCTATAATTTCTATCTAGTGGACATGCTCACTGCCCCCCCCCCCCCCTCCACACACCGAAGAGATGACTGGAAGAAACTCTGTAAGAATGAAGACCTTATGTACAAACCAAAACAGACGACAGTCAACACACGCCAGCAACTTACCCACACACCAGCAACTTACCCACACACCAGCAACTTACCCACACACCAGCAACTTACCCACACACCAGCAACTTACCCACACACCAGCAACTAACCCACACACCAGCAACATACCCACATACCAGCAACTTACACACACCAGCAACTTACCCACACACTAGCAACTTACCCACACACCAGCAACTAACCCATACACCAGCAACTTACCCACACACCAGCAACTTACCCACACACCAGCAACTTACCCACACACTAGCAACTTACCCACACACCAGCAACTAACCCACACACCAGCAACTAACCCACACACCAATAACTCACCCACACACCAGCAACTTACCCACACACCAACAACTTACCCTTACACCAGCAACTTACCCACACCCACACACCAACAACTCACCCACACACCAACAACTAACCCACGCACCAGCAACTAACCCACACACCAGCAACTACCACCACACCAGCAACATACCCACACACCAGCAACTCACCCACACACCAGCAACTACCACCACACCAGCAACATACCCACACACCAGCAACTCACCCACACACCAGCAACTACCACCACACCAGCAACTTACCCACACACCAGCAACTCACCCACACACCAACAACTCACCCACACACCAGCAACATACCCACACCCACACACCAGCAACTTACCCACACACCAGCAACTCACCCACACACCAGCAACTTACCCACACACCAACAACTAACCCACACACCAACAACTCACCCACACACCAACAACTCACCCACACACCAGCAACTAACCCACACACCAGCAACTAACCCACACACCAGCAACTACCACCACACCAGCAACTTACCCCTAATCTCATCCACCTCGATGGTTCCATTTTTCCCGGAATCGACGAGGTCAAAGGCCTCGTTGATGACCTTGACCCGGCTCTCGCTCATGGTCGGCCTGAGTGCCGTCATCATCTCCACAAAGTCCACGCCCCCGCTCCCGTCCGTGTCGAGATTTCTGTGGAGCGAATGTGTTGGGTCAGTGCTTTAGATGTCAAGAGTTTATTAAAAACATGTGTGTATACCCCAACCACTAGCATCTGTGTATACCCCAACTACTAGCCTCTGCACCCTACACATCCTCAGAATCCCCCCCCCCCTCCCCCCAACGCCAACACCACACTCTACAGAAATCCAGTAGTACTGTTCAATTATTATAAAACAGTTAGAAGGGACATAACTACTAAAACTAATTTTAAAAAATTTAGTCCGAGAATCACATTATTTAAGAGATAAATCCCTTGCTGCGTTTACATTAGAAACAATTGCAAAAATACATAATGTGTTCAAGAATGTGTAAAAAGATTGTGCAAACTTTCTGGATAGCAAACATTTCTGGATATAAATAACATAGAAAACCAAGCGCAATCTATTAACGCTTCCCTATATGAATTCCTGCATCACGTTAAACAAATTATTACTACTGTTTTTTGCTTTTAAAAAAAATATATATAAAAAAAAAAAAAAAAAAAAAAAAAATAAAAATAAAAAAAAAAAATAAAAAAAAAAAAAAATAAAATAAAATAAAATAAATAAATAAATAAAATAAAATAAAATAAAATAAAATAAATAAAATAAAATAAAATAAAATAAAATAAAATAAAATAAAATAAAATAAAATAAAATAAAATAAAATAAAATAAAATAAAATAAAATAAAATAAAATAAAATAAAATAAAATAAAATAAAATAAAATAAAATAAAATAAAAAAGGAGGTTCTCCCTAGGTTAGGCCTGCACATTGCACTTCGTGTGTGTTGATCCCTTGATCACCCCAAATGTGGGTGACTCGGGTGCGTAATTTTTACGTAGGGAGAGGGGGGAGGGACTGCGTTCGCGCTATTCCCTGACACAGAATAATGTGACATGAATGGCGTATAAATACCTCCCTCCCTAGTTATAGTATAGTTTAGAACAACATTATATGAACTTGCTAACTATCAAGTAAATAGGGATTTTCCCAGCTGTATTAATAAGCAATAATAAAATTTAAAAATCGTTACTACTAAAAATGTAGTTTAAATGGGATGCATGGTCGAATTGTTCAAATACGGTTTTAAGTTCAGCAGAATATTTGTAATCCACATATTGATTTATGATGTATGGGCTGATTTTGTTTGATTTAAATAACTGTATGTCTCATTAACCAGTTAAAGATTCTGCTGCTAAAAAAATGTCAGTAGGAACTACTCCGTTAGTGCTGTAGAATGACCCTAAACTCTACTGTCCCTTACACTATCCCCTAACCCGTAGTGCTGCAGTGAGACCCTAAACTCTACTGTCCCTTACACTATCCCCTAACCCGTAGTGCTGTAGTATGACCCTAAACTCTACTGTCCAGAGGCGTATCCAGGTTTTCGGTGTAGGGGGAGCGGAAATAGCAAAAAAGGCGCCAAATTTGTAATATCTTCTATATAAGTATATATATATATATATATATATATATATATATATATATATATATATATATATATATATATATATATATATATATATATATATATTAGCTGTATGATATTTCTTCGATATGATGTAAAATAAATTTAAATTAGCACTCTGAAGAAATAAATAAAAGCAATGTAGGCCGATGAAACAAAAAAAAATGGTTTCATACTAAACAAATATATATATATATATATATATATATATATATATATATATATATATATATATATATATATATATAATCACACTAGAACCAAAAACAATAAACGGCATAATCTGTTTCGTAATCCTTGTAAAAAAAATGCATAATAATTCCTGGGACATCTATTAAGACTAGCGAAAAGGGGAAATAATCAATATCTTAATATAAATATGTATATGTCTACATATTTTATTATAAATATCAAAACAAATCAATAACTACTTAAGAATCTAATAAAGTAGTTTAACACTATTCGTTTTTACAAAAATATTTTATCTACAATCAGAATTAAATATATTGTCATCATAAATGCTAAACTTTTACAGCATAATGAAAGTTTTTAAAATCAGAGTTGGTATAAAACCCAGCTTTTAAAAATAGCAGTAAAAGATTCGGAATATTAGCCTACATATAACTAAAATATCTGTCTTACATTTCAGATCATGCGCTTTTTTATTAGTTACTGACTTTTAGTGTTGTTTAAAGATAAGTTTTTGACATAATGAGAAGGTATGGGTTAGATCACTGTATTGCTCACACACCTTTTACTGGTAGTTGCAAGAACAATATTCACAGAGATTTATGTTTCAAATGTGCCGACCAAAGATAATTTTTTAACAAATATCAATGTTTAAAACTTTGAGTTGCAAAAGTTTCCAAAAAGGCGCCACTTTGCTAAAAATGGCCAGAGGGGGAGCGGCCGCTCCCCCTGCTCCCCCCCTGCGTACGCTACTGCTACTGTCCCTTACACTATCCCCTAACCCGTAGTGCTGCAGTGAGACCCTAAACTCTACTGTCCCTTACACTATCCCCTAACCCGTAGTGCTGCAGTGAGACCCTAAACTCTACTGTCCCTTACACTATCCCCTAACCCGTAGTGCTGCAGTGAGACCCTAAACTCTACTGTCCCTTACACTATCCCCTAACCCGTAGTGCTGCAGTGAGACCCTAAACTCTACTGTCCCTTACACTATCCCCTAACCCGTAGTGCTGTAGTATGACCCTAAACTCTACTAACCCTTATACTATCCCCTACCCCCCCTAGCCCTGTAGTATGACCCTAAACTCTACTTCCCGTACCCTATCCCCTACCCCTTTAGTGCTGTAGTATGACCCTAAACTCTACTAACCCTTATACTATTCCCTACCCCATTTCGTGATGTAAAGTTTTTAAAGTTATCCTTGGTCTAGCCCAGCAGTCCATGCGGCAGATAAAACGGAGCTTCTCTTTATCAGTGACCTCGCTATCTGGCGAGATAGTCTTGTCAGCACTATAAACAGATGTTTTCACTTTCCTTAGCGAGAGGCGGGTACCCATCGGGACTCGGTGGGCTCACGGACGCCCTACGGACTCAATTAGGGGATCCGACCTCGTGAATTTTGGGTTAGCTGTCGTACACTCCAACCACGCCCTCCCAACTTTTTGTGCTTTAATATGACCCTAAATCCTGCTGATCCCTATATTAGGCACTACCCTACTTCGTGTTGTGTATAACCTTGATCCCTCACTACCACTTCACTACTTCCTACACACCCCACTCCTGTGAAAACGTGATCCCTACACACCCCACTCCTGTGAAAACGTGATCCCTACACACCCCACTCCTGTGAAAACGTGACCACTACACAACCCACTCCTGTGACAACGTGATCCCTACACAACCCACTCCTGTGACAACGTGACCACTACACACCCCCACTCACCTGAAAAACTCCAACAGTTCCTCCTGTGACAACGTGATCCCTACACACCCCACCTCTGTGACAACGTGATACCTACACGCCCCACTCCTGTGAAACCGTGACCACTACACGCCCCACTCCTGTGACAACGTGACCACTACACACCCCCACTCACCTGAAAAACTCCAACAGTTTCTACTGTGACAACGTGATCCCTACACACCCCACCTCTGTGACAACGTGATACCTACACGCCCCACTCCTGTGAAACCGTGACCACTACACGCCCCACTCCTGTGACAACGTGACCACTACACACCCCCACTCACCTGAAAAACTCCAACAGTTTCTCCTGTGACAACGTGATCCCTACACACCCCACTCCTGTGACAACGTGATCCCTACACACCCCACTCCTGTAAAACCGTGACCACTACACACCCCACTCCTGTGACAACGTGATCCCTACACACCCCACTCACCTGAAAAACTCCAACAGTTCCTCCTGTGACAACGTGATACCTACACACCCCACCTCTGTGACAACGTGATCCCTACACACCCCACCTCTGTGACAACGTGACCACTACACACCCCACTCACCTGAAAAACTCCAACAGTTCCTCCTGTGACAACGTGATCCCTACACACCCACACCTGTGACAACGTGATCCCTACACACCCACACCTGTGACAACATGATCCCTACACACCCCACTCACCTGAAAAACTCCAACAGTTCCTCCTGTGACAACGTGATCCCTACACACCCACACCTGTGACAACGTGATCCCTACACACCCACACCTGTGACAACATGATCCCTACACACCCCACTCACCTGAAAAACTCCAACAGTTCTTCCTGTGACAACGTGACCGCTACACACCCCACTCACCTGAAAAACTCCAACAGTTCCTCCTGTGACAACGTGACCGCTACACACCCCACTCACCTGAAAAACTCCAACAGTTCTTCCTGTGACAACGTGACCGCTACACACCCCACTCACCTGAAAAACTCCAACAGTTCCTCCTGTAACAACGTGACCCCTACACACCCCACTCCTGTGAAAACGTGACCGCTACACACCCCACTCACCTGAAAAACTCCAACAGTTCCTCCTGTGACAACGTGATCCCTACACACCCCACTCACCTGAAAAACTCCAACAGTTCCTCCTGTGATAACGTGACCGCTACACACCCCACTCACCTGAAAAACTCCAACAGTTCCTCCTGTAACAACGTGACCCCTACACACCCCACTCCTGTGAAAACGTGACCGCTACACACCCCACTCACCTGAAAAACTCCAACAGTTCCTCCTGTGACAACGTGATCCCAAACTCCTGGAACTTCTCCTTCATCTCGTCTATGGTGATCCTCTTGTTGTAGTCGATGTCCAGATGGCGAAACATGATGCCCAGCTCGTGGATGCCCTGGCTGCCCTTGGCTAGGCACTTGTCCCTCACTGCCTTCAGCAGAGTTTCGCTTCTCTTGCTCGAGTCACCTATGGACAAACCAACATAAATGAAAACAATATTCATGTAAAGTTCCATTTTCGAACCTGACGGTCCATGGGGCAAGTGAAGTAGAGTTCACCTGTTTCTGTGACCCCGGTTTACGAAGGGATATCTATGAGGTATCTGTAATAAGACTTGACTGAAGGTCACGATATCCAAATTAGAAGACCTATATTTTACTTGTCTAGTTAAGACCGATATTGTGTCAATGTTTGTTTTTTTTTTTTAATTTTTTTAGCCTTCAACCACAATGCCATGTACATGTTCACCACGACTTTCGGTCAAAAACGCCCATTGTACATGTACTTATTCTATTATGGTTTTACTACTACTTTCAATAAATCAGAACTGTGTAGGTAGTGAATTGCTGGGTGGATTTAATGAGGGTTCAACACCCGAGCACGAGACTCGAACTCGAGACAGTCGGTATCGTTATAGCGCGCTCTACTATATATTTGCAACATCCCAAAATTTCATAAATTTCATTGCAGTTATCCCTCTTCGTAGACATCCCTAGACGAATTACGGGAATATCCGTTTGCATCATTCATCCTTGTGTAGCTAGCTCTCTATGTTGATGTTTGGTGGGCCCATGACGCGACAAATAAACACCCATCTGTTCTTTGCTCATTCCCTTTATTAACAACAGCAACATAATAGGACACTGCATTGTTAAAGAAGTTTTATTCTTTCTTCATATTTAAAAAAAAAAATGTGAGAAGTGTTGTTTGTTTGTTGTTGTTTTTTTGTTGGTTTTTTTTTTTTTTTTTTGTTTTTTTTTTTTTTTTTTGCAGTTTTAATTTTTTGTTTCAACAGATATATTCAAAATTCCTGTAAATTTTTGTTTCCGACATTGTAGATTATAAATATTTAATAGGAATTAATTTTTCTTTAAAAAAAATACGTTGTTTCCAGGTGACAATCTGTCAATCAAATTACCACATATTCTAGAAAGCCAGACATTTGATTGTCTTCTGCTTAAGTGTTACACAGTGAAAGGTCAAAATCGGCTCAGCGTGTGAAGGTGTGCCCTCAGAGGCTAGTTAACTCAGCCTCGGCAGTGACCTCAAACTTGACAGTGACCTCATGCTTGACAGTGACCTCATGCTTGACAGTGACCTCATGCTTGACAGTGACCTCATGCTTGACAGTGACTTCATGCTTGACAGTGACCTCATGCTTGACAGTGAACTCATGCTTGACAGTGACCTCATGCTTGGCAGTGACCTCATGCTTGACAGTGACCTCATACTTGGCAGTGACCTCATACTTGGCAGTGACCTCATACTTGGCAGTGACCTCATACTTGGCAATATGCTTCAACTTTTAGGTAGAGTTAGCCTCTAGACTCTAGACTGTATGTCTTTACGAATAGGTCCAGATGCCTCAGATTAAAACACAAATTACATCACCGAATCATACAAGATAGTTTATAGTCTACAAGCACTAGAATCGACTGTACCATATAATGCCCCTGCCATGGAGAGGCACCAAACTAAGCTACGTCTTCTCTCCCTTCTGTAGACATAAGCTACAAAAACAGGATTCTAAGGCCTGGTAGTTTGCTACAGGAAGTAGAATCGACCAATTCTGCTAGCAGTTCTGACTGTTTTGTTTCCGATTTGATTTTCATTAACCTTCCCCCTTTCCCCCCCCCCCCCCCCCCCCCGTAGCATAGCACCGCTTTGTTTGCACTACCCCTCCCTGTTGCATTGCACCACTTATTTTTCCCGCCTCCGTTGCAGTGCATAACCTTGTGTGCCCCGTGTCGCCACCCCCCCCCCCAGTCCCGTGTCGTCTCCCCCCCCCCCCCCCCCCCACCCGTTGAATTGCACCACCCAGTTTGGATGACGTGTACGGTTTGGTTGTAAACCTTTACAACAAGAGCTACCATCGACAGCTAATGTCCAATATATACAACACATTAAAGCCTTTTTATGTACCCCTTACTCCACATATCTTTACAATCCAATCTAGAATTTAATTAACTGCTGTTAGCTCAATCAGATGGTCAAAACACTTTCACGTGCGATGTGATTATGCTCACGACGGGGGTGGTGCCACTTTTCTGTTGTTTATTAATGAACAGAACAACATTTAGAGGGTGGGGGTGCTACTTTTCTGTTGTTTATTAATGAAGAAACAGCTAGGCGAGGCGGGGGTGCCACTTTTCTGTTGTTTATTAATGAAGAAACAGCTAGGCGAGGCGGGGGTGCCACTTTTCTGTTGTTTATTAATGAAGAAGCAGCTAGGCGAGGGTGGGGTGCCACTTTTCTGTTGTTTATTAATGAAGAAACAGCTAGGCGAGGCGGGGCTGCCACTTTTCTGTTGTTTATTAATGAAGAAACAGCTAGGCGAGGCGGGGTGCCACTTTTCTGTTGTTTATTAATGAAGAAACAGCTAGGCGAGGGTGGGGTGCCACTTTTCTTTTGTTTATTAATGAAGAAACAGCTAGGCGAGGGTGGGGTGCCACTTTTCTTTTGTTTATTAATGAAGAAACAGCTAGGCGAGGCGGGGGTGCCACTTTTCTGTTGTTTATTAATGAAGAAACAGCTAGGCGAGGCGGGGGTGCCAATTTTCTGTTGTTTATTAATGAAGAAACAGCTAGGCGAGGGTGGGGTGCCACTTTTCTGTTGTTTATTAATGAAGAAACAGCTAGGCGAGGGTGGGGTGCCACTTTTCTGTTGTTTATTAATGAAGAAACAGCTAGGCGAGGGTGGGGTGCCACTTTTCTGTTGTTTATTAATGAAGAAACAGCTAGGCGAGGGTGGGGTGCCACTTTTCTGTTGTTTATTAATGAAGAAACAGCTAGGCGAGGGTGGGGTGCCACTTTTCTTTTGTTTATTAATGAACAGACTCGGGCGGGGGTTGAGGACCGCCGCGGGTGTCACAATCAAAAGTAATGAAACCACAACTAATTGTTACTAATTTTAATGAAAACGCCTGCTTTTTCGTTTAGTTTGATAAGTTATATACTTCAAGCGTCACCGGGTACAATGCGGGATGGGAGAGGGGGGACACATAAAATTTTCTATAGTTTTATTACTTCAAATATACTGTCGTTGTGGGAACAGGGCGACCCCCTGGGTTACCGCTCCTGGTGTCACCCGCAGAGGTGTAGCGACCTAATCCGGCGCCCGGGGCGGACTATCAATTTTGCGCCCCCCCCCCCCCATTTATATATAGAGTTTTTCCTGTCTGTGAAAAAGACCCCCCCCCCCCCCCTAAGTTGGAAAGGTTTGTAGCACTTCTTACCAGTTACCCCTGTGGGGAGGGGCTGCTTTGGGGACTGACAATATGCAACCAGAGTTTCTTCCGGGCATATCTTCAGCGGGGGGGGGGGGGCGAACGAAATTAAATTTATATAGAAAATATATACTTTTAACAGTGTCCTCCCCTACCCCGAATAAAGTCCACCGCCCCCCCCCCCCCCCAGAACTTAACTTCAAGTGCCCCCCCCCCCCCCCGCGGAGGAGAAAAAAGTCTGGTAGAAACACAGTACATAACTAGGGTAGAGGGGAGGTAAAAATCTTGGGGAAAAAAACATGACGTTGGTTACGGATGACCCTTATTTCACACACGGTCACGTGTCTACTCACCGCCATGACAGTCCTGCTTTGAAATCGGTACGGTCTGTCGTTTGGCTAAATCACTATTAGACATCTTTATTTTTATTAAATACAATTAACTGATATAAAACACCCACTGTTTTATCCAAAGAAGAATCTCTTAAGTTAATCTAGAAAATATTGATCTACACTATAACATTGTTTTACTCCTGATCTATGTTTTTTAAGTTGCCGAATCCAAATGTTGGCAGGTGTAACAAGCAAATGGCGACACACAAAAAACGAATCAGTCCTTGGGAGATGTGACGACGTGAACCAAAAGATCAAACCTAGCTAACAGCCACGCCGCAAGAACAACAGCAGCTTTGTGCTGTTGCTGTATTGATCAGTCAACATCGATTGAAACGTTCATTTTTTTTTTCAATCACTTCGCTCTGATCCATTCGCCCCCCCCCCCCCCCCCCTCCACCCCGATTCAGTTTATTCCATTCCTTTTTTTCCCTCCCCCTCTCCCCTTCCCTAGAGCTGAAGTTAGAACAATCGTCAGGAGCTTGATGATAAATAGTGGGGCTGACGAGACTTGCCCGTGGGTGAAGTTTCAAATGGACAGGACTATAAACGAGATATTGATAGCGGATATGGACAAGACTGGCCGTAGAGGGTCGTCCATAAACGACGTCACGCTACTATGGGGTAAGGGGTGGGGATTTGGTGACATTGTGTGACTTGTGGGAGGAAGTGAGGTTTCAGAAATTTTGACGACATACTTTTGCATTTTATAAGTGTGTTTTAGGAACTAATTTGAGCCGTTATTTCGCGTTTTTTAAAAGGTGTTTTTTTTTTATTATTTTAATAGAAATTGAATAAAGTACCCCAGGTCGCCGAGTTCACAATATAGGCCTAGTTTTTAAAGAAATCTTTTTTTTAAAAAAACTGCATCCCGAGAGAAGGTTTTAGGCTGAGATGTGACGTAATGTTATGGGTGGGGTTTTTGCTTTTGTGATAATGTGTGACGATGAGTCGGGGGGGGGGGGGGGGGTAGATCGTCAAAAAATGACGTCAATTATGGATGACCTCCATAAAGCCTGTTGTTAACAGGGATGGACTGGATCAGCCCGACAACCCGACATTTCTGACCTACAGCATACGAGACAACCACGTTAGCCAACCCAGCTTTTTGTAGGGATCTTCCTGGGAACTTCACTTCTTTTTTGTTTAAAAACCGGTATTTTCTAAATAAATAGTAAGATATAACATACATTCTTTAACACTATTTCTTCTCTGAATAAGCAACGCTTAGACATATGTGCTACCGTAGTTAATATAATTCTATAGAATTCTTTAAGATAAAATTTCTAAAGACTAATTTCAAGTGCTTAACAAATTCAACCCTCGCTCCATCGGAATAATCGATAGCACTTCACTTAAACCTATCGATGTGCTTGTCAAAGAGCTGTATTGGTGCAGAACAATGGTACCTGGCTACATTTATAATACGCCGTCTTTGCCTGCAGTTCTACGGGCGTTTAGTTGACTTGAATCTGTGGGTATATTTAGACAGAATTTTCTGGACGCTATCCTTGACCCAGTTACTGGATTAACCCTTTAACAAGTGCAGTGCTGACTTCCGTTGTGACGTGTACCGGCATGTCATGTGTTAATTGCTGTGTCGTACGACAGCTTCTATTAATGAATAATACATTCTTTTGCTTCTGAGGAATGTTTTGTCTTAGGTTTGTGGCAATTTTCTACAGGGAGAGGGGGAGGGGGGGGGGGTCATCCATAAATGACGTCACACTCGTAGGGGGGGAGGGGGTCCGTAATTTTGTGACGATGTGTGATGAGGGGGGAGGGGGGGGGGTCAGATGTTGCGACGTCACACTTTTGCATTATAAAAAAAAAAGCAATGTTAGAAAACGAGTGTTTTAGACGTTATTTCGCGTTTTAGATAACTGTTTTAATAAATTGTAATAGTTTAGACAAGATTTTAGAAAAATATCGATGTTTTAAAAAAATTCAAATGCAATTTTGAGGGGGGGGGTGTAGGTTGAGGTGTGACGTCATTTTAGGGGGGGTCTGGCTTTTTGTGACGACGTATGACGGAGGGGAGAGGGGGGGGGGGGTAAAAAGCGTCAAAAAAAGGCGTGACGTCATTTATGGATTACCCCAGGGAACTGGGTAGCGTTGAAGTCATTGTGTTTAATAATTAATGAATAAGTCAAAACATAGTTCATGAGTGAGGCTGACATTTGTTAATCACATAGTCTATTCTGTCATAAATGACAAAGGCGTAGCGACCCATCGCGGCGTCTGGAGCAAACTCTCAAAGCCCTTCTCGCGCCTGGCTGGAGATGGATTTGAACCACACCTTGCATTAACTTGCTAACAACATCACCAGACATGCCTGTAGATGGGTCTTCCCAAGGAAAGAGGGAAAGTTTTAGGCAACACAATGTGGAAAAGGTCAGTTTTCAGTGAAGCAGAAGCAGACGGAATGTCGTGGATCCAACTTGGAGAAATCGCACTAAGCCGAGTACGATGAAGAGGTGTGGTTTGCGTGCCTCTGCTCCACAAAGGGTCACAGGAATTATAATGATAATCAATGGTCGGCAGTAGCGTAGCGAGGGGGGGGGGGGGGGAGGCGGGGGGACATATGCCCCCGGGCGCCGACCTTAGGGGGCGCCAAAATGGGTTGGAAAAATAAATTGAAAGGTTTGAAGGGGGTGCAAATCGAAAGTTTGAGGGGGGGGGTGCAAATTGAAAATCTCGAGGGGGGGGTGCAAATCGAAAGTTTGAGGGGGGGGTGCAAATCGAAATCTTGAGGGGGGGGGTGAAAATCGAAACGTTTGTCCCCGGGCGCCGGGGAAGGGTCGCTACGCCTCTGATGGTCGGAACCCCTCCCTCCCCCCCCCCCCCCAATACCGACCACCACTAATGGTCGATCTCCGAGGCCGCCCCAACCGGGGTTATCCATTTATGACGTCCACGCGCGGGGGGGGGGTCCGAAAAAACTGGATTTTTGTGGACGGGGGGGGGGGTCCAAAAATCCAAAAAAAATGTGGACGTCATAAATGGTTGACCCCTTGCTCACCCCCTAGCTACACCTATGGGTAATGGATCGTCAGGCTAAATGTGACATGGGGTAAATAAGCACAAACCTTTATCGATAACTTCGTAATATCAAATGTTGGAAACGCCTAATAGCGTGGTCTGTTAAGTAATAATTAGTTGTAATGTTGAAATTATATACTAAGTCATCTATATCCTCCCTAAGTGGGCGGCCCCCTGCTTGTAACCGATGGATTGTTTTCCCGATTTTCTAATTGTGGGAAAAACAAACAGGATCTTTAAAAAAGTGCATCCGTATAGCTACACTTGTGACTCGGATGGCTAATTGCGACGGTTGCCAGATTAATTGTTGTGGAAAGATATCAAAGTATTTTAAATCTTAAGGGTAGAGATTCTGATAGTAACCTCGTGAGATCGGAAATAACATCCGGTTTTTAGTTTCTGAAACAGGGCCTTTCCAACGATGAACCAAGCCTTTCAACCAGTGGGGTCGCTATGTCAGTTGTTCACCCACTGCGGTACCTCATGATGTCATCCCATTCCCCCCCCCCCCCGTGATAGCTTATAATTGTGCCCATTTAGTAGTAACTATGTTCATCTATAGTCGGTTATTAACACAGCTGGGTGTAGCATTGAAAGTGTCACCCCCCCCCCCCCCCCCCATCCACCCGTTGTCTGATCGTCAATGACTATTTATCTTTAATTAATCATTTCTTGAACAGGCAAAAGACATTTTGCTTCTACTGTAAATTTCGCAGTTTTTTGCTTTGGTTTCACCCGGTGTAGTCTGCAACCCCCGTCCCCTTCTCCCCCTTGCGACCCCTTTGCTTTTCAACTCGCAGGATTTTGTTTTGAGTTTAACATTTGTGAATTTAGCTCGGTCAAGCGCTATCAATAAAGATATAATATACAACATCGGGTTTCTTTGACTATACTCAATCTTTTTCCGATTGTTATCGATTTCCTAGGAACAAAAATCCTGCAGCTTCGTTGACGTTGTTTGTCTTGTGTGGATACCGCCCCATAACAGCCAAACAGTCCACCAAATTTTCACTGTTTTAAAGGGTTTGAGTAAAAAGATACATTGCGGATCATGCGAGTATTATACAACTAAATACAACATTTTAACAAACTCTCAAGATGTTGTAATATATTTCCTTATAGCTATTCTTATACTAAGTATTTTCTAGGAATACCCTCACCCTTATCAGATACTTACACACACACACACACACACACACACAAGAACACACACAAACCACATCACCATTTGCTACGTCAAACACTTTTTTTCTCAGGGATTATAGGGATTTTTTTTTTCTTCGACGAAGAAAAAAGTACAGCTAAATCCATCGCAAAAAGTAGTTCGCGAAAAATAAAAAGAAGACAAACATCCGTTGTTCAGAAACCCAGCATCTGGCTGCGAGCGAGAATAAATTCGTTGTAGTTTTCGCTTAGGTGAACATATATAAACCAGGTTTGCCACGGTCTCTACCTTGGTCAGAAGACTAATAATACCTCTTGAGAGAGGCTTCGAGAAAAGATCAGCAATAACCGCACCTTACAAATGAGCCTGAAAGCCTCGAATTTCAGATGTTACCTTAGGATCTCTCTACCACTCTGTCCATCAGTGACCGAGCCTGGTGCTGAGTTCACGGCGGTGCTCTTGCTGCGGTCCTCACCATACATTATGTCAAATGTTTGGGTAAATGGCATCATAGTCGTCACAAAAAGTCAGATCCCCCTTTCCCCAACCCTCGTATATACAGTGGCGGATTAAGGGGGGTGCTGAAAGGGCTGCAGCCAGGGGCCCCCGAATTTTAGGGGCCCCCAAATTTTGATTTCTCAACTATAGCAAATATTACTTTATCATTGCTTTTTTTAAATAGCTTAGTTAAATCATTTTTTTAATGTCAGAAGTATGAGTTTTAAAATGTCACCAAGTATTAGCAAGCATCACTTAAATAATAGCTTTATCAGTGAATGTGCCGAGACAAGCAAGATCCATCAGATACTCTCTGATCTTTAATGCTTAATTTTGCCTTATTGTTTTAAACAGCAGTCCCTCTACCTGACATCGTTACTGATAGAAAATGTTTTGAAAACCAATTAAAAGCACATAGTGTCGAGGCTGAGGGAGGGTGGGGGTGGGGGTATTTGTATGAGGGATTGTTTGCGTATTGCCATAGCGTATATAGATAAAAATAAAACTAGACTGGTAGAGACTAAT